CTTTATCTTTCTTTCTCTCTCTCTCTCTCTCTCTCTCTCTCTCTCTCTCTCTCTCTCTCTCTCTCTTTCTCTTTCTTTTGTAATTTCTAAGCATTCTTTCCAACAACTTATACTAGTCTATGGTATAGACTCTGGGAAAAAATAAAATATATGTCTTTCTTCGCTACTTGATTTGTCTTTTCGTTATAATTTAAGGAAGAATATATAGATGAAATTGAGTCCTCTATGTGTTATTTAAAAGTCATAAACACAATTGTATAGTAGTGAAGGTGAAATTCAGATTCTATAGTTAAAATCTGTCTCTTTTAGATGCTTTGGGCATTTTGTGGCCTTAATTTTTCAGTAGCCCGAATAATATTAATAATATAAACTAACCTAGCAATATTATAAAGTAAAATTAGGTAACTCATTAGTTGGTTAGAATAATGTTTTGTGTCCTTAGTTAAAACAACATTAACATTTATTCTTGTTATAATTATTATTTTTTGATTCATCCTGTATCATTCATATAGACTTTTGAATATTTAAATGAAGGTTTTTTTCAAACATGAAAAAATTCAGAATGTTTTCAGATTAAAAAGAAAAAAATCATTGACTTTTACCTTCACATATATTATCCTAATTACTTACCAGAGTAACCTGAAGACTCAGTTATTTTATGTGTATGAAGTTTTTGATAGTCAAAAGCATAAGTAGTTGTTTCAAGGTAACAATTGTAAAACTGGAGTGACAAAGTTAAATTCATGTCAGTAGGTGTGAAGACTTACTCTAAAGTTCTCTTACTTCTATGCATAGTTTTACCTCCATTATCATAATTGTTTGGCAGCTTGATGTTTTAATATATCTTGAGATAATATGGTATAACCAACTTCTCATTCCCCAACTCTAATTGTCTTCAACTTATACTCAAGATTTTAGAACAAGTAATTGAAGAACCAGAGTCTCAAAGCATTATACAACTTTTGGTTTATAACCTAAATCCATTGTAGATGAGGTGGATAATTAAAGAGTAATTCATTTATTCAATTAACACTTTGTAGGAGCTGGGGAAACAATGGTGATCAGAAGTGATAAAACAACTTGTTCTCTGAAGTGTATATCTAGTGGAGGGCACAGACAATAAACAAATATCAATAAAATAGTTTAGGTAAGTGCTAAGGAGAAAAAAATAATGCAGGAAAGATGGTAGAGTCAGAATGGGGAAAAGATGTTTGTAATTTTAGGTGCGGTGACTCAGGAAAACCCTCTGTGAGAAGGTGACATTTGAATGAAGGACCAAAGGAGGTTAGTGAGTAAACCATGCAGATATCTTTTGGAATAGCGTTCTAGGCCAAGAGCACATCAAGTGGAAGAATTCTGAGGCTGGAATGTGCTTGACATATTCAAAGAACAGAGTAGGCCATATGGGGTAGAATGAACTGAATAAAGGGGAAAATAGGAAATGACGTACAGGGGCACAGATCTTACAGTACTTTGTGACTTTTGTGAGGAGTTTGGTTTTTATTTTCATTAAGATGGATGGGAGACATTGGATGCTTTCATCAATGAGTCATATTATTTGACTTACATTGTAAAAAAATCTCTATTCTGATAAATATAGAAGGGGGGTATGAGTGTCAAAGTAGGGAGGTCAATTAAGAGGCTATTTAAAAAAAATCAGGTGGCTCCAATTATTTTGTGAAGTTAAGGTGATGAGAAGCTGTCAAATTCAGAAAGCAGGGCCTACAAGGTTTCCTGTTGGATTACGTGTGGTGTGTTAAAGAAAGGCATCAATATGACTTCTAAATCTTTAGCCTTATTCAACAAATAATGAAGTTGTCGTTTGCTGAAATGGGGAAAATAGAGGGAAAAGCAGTTTAGGGAGGGCGAGGAGTGTAGAAACAGGATAATATCAGGGGCTCAGTTTTGGACATACAATATTTGATTGCTATTTAAATATTCAGTAGGGATTAAATAGATGCTAAAGCTATACTGAAGGTTCAGCTCTAAGACAATTTAGTCTAAATGGAATGGGATTATTATAATCATTCAAAAACAAATATTTATTAAGCATTTTTAATATGTCAAGCCCAGTATGAGGTGGTGAAATATATTAATATGATACAAGATTTAAAAGATCTCAAGGCACGCAACGATATACAGTTCATGTAGCAGATGATTGAATTAGATAGTGCTCACAAACATGGAACTTTGGAAATAGGAAATGATGCAGAGGGGCACAATACTTGGTTCACGATCACATCATTACAATCATGTCCAGGAGCTTTATTCAATTGCCCATTCTCTTGAAGGGAGTTTGGTTTTTATCATAGCTTGGTCCCCTGGAAGTTCTAGTATGGCAGACTTATTAAAAGAAAACCATACTCAGCTCTTATTGGCATTTAATGCTCATTGTTCTTTTCCTCTCTTGTTACCGATAAAGTTCTAGCAGTAGGTTGTATTCAGAGTGCTGCTGTCACAGTGTGGTATACACAAGGTGTTGGTGTTGATGTTTTCTGAGCTAGACAGTCATACCAGAAAGGTGAATTAATCACTAGACTTCTGTTGTCTCTGAGCGTTATGTACTTTTTGTACTGATGTTTTGACATCTGGTATTCTTCATTTAATAACTCTGCATGGGGTTTTTGAAGGGCCTACAAAGGCACTGAGTAAAGTAAATACATCTCTAATAATGCAACTACCCAGAAAAAGGCAGGAGTTTTTTGATTCCTTTTTTTCCCTTTTTTTCTTTTCTTTTTCTTTTTCCTTTTTTTTTTTTTTCTTTTAGTGTTTTCGGTCTTTAGGATACATTTGAGAATGTATTATACCTGTCATTTTCCTCATTATGAAAGACTGCTGTGCTGAAGGTTGGTGCTTCATACTCAATCACAGCATCTTTCCTTTGAGTCAAAGAGAGCAAATAGCCCTCTGGTCAGGGAACCAGGTAGCACTAACCACTCTTTGCTCTCAAATAGTAAAAGTAATTTAAGCTATCAGAGACCCAACACTACTTTAGTAATATCCCCTGGAGAACAAAGCAGTAAAAGCAAAATTACATGTGGTTTTCTTTCATGATTTGAGCTCCTTCTGAGAAATATATCTAGAGTTATGCAGGAATATTTCAAAACTGGTTCATTGACAGTATTCTAGCAGAGTTCTTTATCAAATAACAGCTGTGAAGTCATATCTGGCAATATGAGAAGTGTTATGATTCAGGTTATAGCACGGTACCTCAGTTGTAAGAAGAAATTTCACATTCGGAATAATCTTTGTATGAAGTTTGTATAAAACATAAAAGTGTGAAGTTTGAATAAAAACAAATAAAAATGAAAAACCTGGATATTTATCTATTTTTAAGGCATGTTAACTATGTAGAAGACAATTAAATATAGTAATTTACATCCTAAAACAAAAATCAATGAGTATGATCTATACAGTTAAAAAGGGTGTCAATTAGGAACACATTCCTTTGTTTACTACTAAAAAATTCCTATGCATATTTTACACTCTTAGTACTTATGCATATATCCATAAAAATCAATGTCATTGATTTATGTCTTTTAAAATTTTATACAGATAGCATTATATGGTACAGAGCCTTTTGTGACTTGCATTTTTAAGAACCTAATGTTATATTTTTGAGAAATATCCATGTTTGTGACTATAAAATTATAATACTGATTTTCTACTGTTTAGAATATCATTCCATAAATTAACCATTATTTATTTATCCATTCCCCTACTAATGCAAATTAGATCTTTAGGGTTTTTCAAGAAACTTAGAAAAAAAAGAGGAATTGACAGTCATACGTAATTTCTCATCTCTGCTCCAACATCTTGGTATACCGATGCATTGGCCCATCATGAATTCTAAAGCTTCACAGAAGTAGTTTTTGATAGAGGCAAACTACTATAAGGTAGAAATAGAATTTTGAATCTTCAAACAAGGACAGAGATGAGATAGTGGACAGATCAATGAATATGGCAGATATGGAGCTCACTGGACTATTTTAACAGAGCACCACCCCCTCGAAAAAAAAAATTCAGTTTCATAAAATTTTCATGAGCTTTTGCATTTTCTTAGCTCTATTATCTGGTTTATGCTGTTATTGGATATAGTAATTCTGAGTGCTTATTTTCCATCTGAGTAAATCCCTTCAAGGATCAAACTTCCTCATCTACTTAAGCCATTTAATATAAATATAAATCCAGTGACTATCCTCATTATTTTAGATCTTCCACTAAATAAATGGTACACATATGTGGCTATTCATCAGAACAAACTGGGGATCTTTATAAAAATACATACTTTTTGAACTCAGCCTTGGAAATTCTGATAAAGTGTTTATAGGACAGAGGAATTACATTTTATATAAAACTCCCTCAGTGATTCAAAAAGCATTTCAGTTGAGATACCACTTCCCTAAGTGTATAGCTTAATTTTTAAATAGAGTATTCCCTAGTGGTAGTTGTCAAAAAATTAGCCTAAAAAAGTGATACTGGTTAAAAAAAAAATCAAGTTGATTTGTTTCAGCTATTTATATTAGTGGAAAATGTATGTAGCTAAGAAAGGTGCAAGCACCACTGACATCCCTGAATATCAAACTGATTTATACCTCAGAAAAAAGATAAAATATTTGACCTATGGACTAGAAAAAACAAATAAATTATCTTGTTCATTGTGCATGGGGAAAATATTTAGTACATTATTAAAATCATACTTCATTCACCCAGGCCCTTACAACACTTAGTAATTGGTTATGTATGCATAGTTGCAACTTTTGACTTTTCTGTTGTGTTTCCAGCACAGTGACGCAGTCCATGACCTTCTTCTGGATGTGATCACATGGGTTGGAATTCTGCTGTCCCTTGTTTGTCTCTTGATCTGCATCTTCACATTTTGCTTCTTCCGCGGACTCCAGAGCGACCGTAACACCATCCACAAGAACCTCTGCATCAGCCTCTTTGTAGCAGAATTACTCTTTCTGATCGGGATCAACCGAACTGACCAACCGGTAAGCCACTTATACTAGTAAAGAATTTCTCCAGTTCAGCTTCTAATACTGGAAATACTCATGTTTGAAAATACCCTCTCTTCTGGTTGTCTAAGATAGATACTGATTTTCAAATCTTACTTAGTTTTCCCCTTTTCATGTGCCATCATAATAAAGTGGCTAATGTTATGGATGTATGAATGTAAAATTCTTCAGAAATTCTGTTTATAAACATCTTTCTAAAGAATTATGTCTCTTCATTAGTTTTTTTCCCCTCTTTAAAAATTACAGAGCTGAATATTGAGGAAAGTTAAATAACATGATTTAAGAGAATAGAGGAGTATCTAACAGATGGGACTGTTATTTATTGAAGCTTATTGTATACTTTGTTTAAAAACAGTTGATATATTAAAAACTACGTGTCTAAAATGAGTTTTTCTAATTGACATATTTTAGAAAATAGTTCGAACTGTAGGCCATTTTTAGACCATATAACTCTTCCCAAATTTTGTTTGACACACTATATATTTGCTCAAATTCTGTTCACGTCCTTAGTGCCAACTTCATACTTTACTACTACCTACATTTAATCACATTAAGAAATATAGGATGTAGGGGAAGGAGGAAAGATGGGAGGGAAAGAAAAGGGGATAAAGGAACAGTAATAGTCAACTGTTCTCAGTAAAATCAAACAGAATGAATAACAGATAATATCCAATATATTACAGACTTTATTCCCAGTTAAAATTTTTGTGAGGCCCTTTTCTATTTACTTAAGATTCATGCACAGAGTGTAAGTTTATTCTCATGACTAAAACTGCAAATAAAAAGAAAACCTTTTTTTGAAAACTTTTAGGCATAATAAATAATTCATTCTCTTAATGTTGTTTTCTGGTATATGTTCATATGTATGGAGTACTTTACAATAAAAACGCAGTTGGATTCATGTTTGTGATTACACATTCATGATTAATGGCTGTAAAGGGTACAATTACAGTGATTATACTTTTAATCCGTTATCATATACAAATGTGACAGCTTTTTCCATAAATGCATAGATATGAATAAGCAATCAAAGTGAACATTTCTTTTTCCCAAAAAGTAAAGCCTTCTAATAACAAAAAATTAATAGTTGAAGTTCTAACTCTAAAAAGCAAGAAATGGAAAACTGTGTTATTTTTCCAAAAAGAAATCATTCCATTCTCTTCTTAACCTGCAATTCACACACTCTGTGATTTCTTTTCATTTAGAAACCTTATTTTTATTTTTTCTTCCCGATGGTACATATGGTGCAGTAAACTTCACCACATGTTTTATACTGCACAAAACTAATTTTTGACAAATAGCATAAAGAACAATGATTGATATGAAAACCTGGAGTAGAGTGCAACTCAGCTCAAGTTGCCTTTATTCTTGTTAGACAGATGTCCTCTTCCTGCATTCCACATAGTGAATAGGCTATGCTTTCTCTCTAGACCTCTTATATTTGACTTCCTCATCTCCCCCTCATTGTTATCTCTCTAAACCAAAAAAATTGACCTGCCCTTTGTGTCATTTCTCAAGGATCATACTCATCATTGAACCCTTATTAATCTGATAATTTCTATAAATGTGTTGCTTCATCTAGTAGGAACTGTAGATTTTACTTAGGACTTCTTATAAGAAATGAAAACCCCCAAAAGAGTGAGAATTTCAGAAACTGACATAAGATTAATATATGGTCTGCTGACTTGTAGTACCTTTTAAGTTTGCCAAAGAAAATAGTTCAAACTGCCATTTTTGACCAAGCTTGTCTAGACATTTAGTACAATCACAAAAAAAAAAAATGAGAGAGAAAGCACTTCTGAAACACCTTATTTTAACCAGATCTACTTTTATAACTATGTAGCATGAACTTCCCAATGCTATCTTAGATTCTTTCTGAAACAAAGCAGGGAAGAAATAAATAAGAACAATAATAATGAATTAATAATCTCATCATAAAATACTGTAATGAATTATTTAATTTTAAGAACTTTTATTCTCCTTGGTTTTCATATTTCTCTTTCATTTACAATTGAAGAACTTAATACGTTAGTACACACATGATTATGGACAATAGAAAAAATTCCTGAGGTCTATTTTAAAATCTTTAGACTAGTCTCAACAATAATTATCAATAGGCACTTAGAATGTTTTCCTAAATGTCATAATCTTTATTATAATATTATGCTGTCACCCACAAGCCATTATTAATAAAATGTTAAGTATAATTTTCAAAGATAGGTTATATTTAATTAGGTTTCAATATCTGAATTTTAAGAAATGTCTACATTATTCTTTTGCAGACCTATTTTTTTGTTATAGTCTTGATAAATATTTATTTTAATTTGATGGCAGTCGATAATATTTCATGTAGTAGTTGTTTGACTAAATCATTTGTTCCTTTTCCTAGATTGCCTGTGCGGTTTTTGCTGCCCTCTTACATTTCTTCTTCTTGGCTGCCTTCACCTGGATGTTCCTGGAGGGAGTGCAGCTCTATATCATGCTGGTGGAGGTTTTTGAGAGCGAACATTCACGTAGAAAATACTTTTACCTGGTCGGCTATGGCATGCCTGCACTCATTGTGGCTGTGTCAGCTGCAGTAGACTACAGGAGTTATGGAACAGATAAAGTGTGAGTTTATGTTTTTTTTTTCTTTTTCTCTCTCTTTTTAAAGCTAGTTCAAATAAAAGCTTTAGATTTTCTTGGAAGCAAAGGTCTTTATAACAACACTTCACAACAATAAATGAAGGAACTGGAAAAACAAATGGGGGATAATTCAATCCTTGGTTGTACTTTTGTTATGTTGTAAAAAGAGCAAATAAAGTCCTGAGATTCAGTATGATGCTGTTTTTAAACAGCATAATTTTTCTGTATCTAAATCATAACCTTTAGTAATTATAAATAGATGATTATTTTAATCTCTTTCAAAAAGCATTGAGACATTTGTCAAATGAAGAACTAGCTATATTTTAAACTATCTTTTCAGAGGAGAGTGCAGTCCCTGACATTAATGGTTTCCCTTCTTCCAGACGTACAAGTTCTAATCACTGGAGATATATATCATTAACACAAAGAAAGACTATGGGAACAGGGGCAGTTTGTGTTTTTTCTTTTTTTCCTAAGTGAGTATTGGGGTATAAATGAATTTTATTTTCTGTATAACTTTAAGTTGGTGAGACATATATGTAAGGATATCTAGCACACTGGCAAGGAGTTCAGTAAAAAATAGTTTTGTAATCCACATCAATACAACAGTTAGATCCTGAGAATGAATGAAAGTTTCAATAAAAAAAAAAGATTAGAAAGATGACCAAGATAGTTCTCTGATGAAAACCCACATTTAGGACATAGATTGAGGAGGGAAAATAAAAATAGAGGCCTTAGAAAGAGAACCACAAGATTTGGGACCAGGCAGAGCAAGAAGAAAGTTTCAAGATGGTATTTCAAAACCATGATGTTTTATGTCAAAGATAACTCGAGTAGAATAAGCATTGAGAGAAAATCTTTTGACCTTTGTAACAGCTATTTTGACAAAGTGCTAGAAGCAGAAGCCAAATTAGAAGGTGTGAAGAGATGTCAGTAGTAAGAAAGTAGAGTCTTTAAGTGTTTTCTACACCCTGAAGAAATTTGATTGAGACATAGTAAAAATATTAACTCAAGTGATAACAGTAATAAAAGAGGATGTGAAAAAAAAAAAAGAAGAAGTCCCAAGCATGTCTAAGGTGAGAAGTATCAAGCTGATAGGAGATTCCTAGACAGAAAATATCTTATGCCTCATTTGTATTCAATATATATAGGTTGAATAAAAGGGAAGATTCGAGAAGGGTAGAAAGGCCTAAGATTGAATATGAGATGAGGAAAACCTTGATTTGGTACTGAAAGCGGCCTTAGTATTCTCCAAGTCCAAGGGATTATTTTTACAGGTGAAAAAAAATCAAAGACCAGATAAATTGCCTTTCCCATGGAGAGGCAGACAGTTATAAACCATCAAGTGTATTTCTACCAAAGATGTTTTTAAATGGTAAATCACCCCTCTCTCCTGAGGTGAGTGAAAAGGAAAGAACATATAAGGTAAATTTCGAAGTAGAAGAACTTTTCCATCAAGTAGGAAATGCCGACACTTGTGAGTGAACTGCGGAGGTCATGTTGAATGGACACGGGATTTGAAAAGCTTTGAAATAAGCACTATGGAAAATGTGTTAAAGAGCCAATTAGACATTAATAAAAAGATTTCCAAGCAGTAGTGAAGGCTCAGATGAGGTTAGATAACATCAATTTGTACAGAAGTTAATAAGCCAAATTTCATGACTTTTTACCAGCAATCAGCAGCCTGAATATGCTGGTGATAAAGCATTCACTTCACAGAAGAAAGGATTGAAAAGGAGAAATGAGAAGAGGACTCCAGAGTTACTGGGAGCACAGTTAAAACGGAATAGATCTTGGTGCACAGACACCAAACAATAAAATGAAAATGAATTGTGGTTCATTTTCTGGATTCCACTGACAAGTGTGACAGAGTAGGAATAGATAAAAACATAATCTGGAGTTCCCACTAAAGACGTATTAGGGGAGAAGGCTTAGTTAGATCATAGGATTTTGAAAAATAACACCATTATTGATATAATTTACATACCATAAAATTCACTCTTTTAAAGTGTATGCTTCATTCGTTTTTAGTACATTCACAGTGTTTGCGCCACCACTGCTAATTTAGAACATTTTCATCACCCCAAAAAGAAATCCATTAGTAGTCACACCCCTTAGATTATACAATTTTACATTTTAATTAATGCATTTCCTAAGATATTAAATTGAATGATATAGTCATTTGCGACCTTATACTACTTCAAATATTGTGTTGATGTAGTTTAACTTTACTCTTTTTCAATTCCTGATTTACTTTTATTTTTGTTTTATGTTGATTCTTTCCCCCTGTTAGATATTTGCAAATTTTTTGTTAGAGAACTGACTCAACTTGTTTGCTTTGTGTTTTAGTCATTTATTTTGAGACAGATGTCATTCTGGATAGTATGAATCTATCTAGGATCAATAATGTATAGTCTCTTGTGACTTCATTAAAGCTTTGGCCATCATTCCTTTAATTTCCTGCACCATAACTGGAAGCTCTCATTTACTGACGTTATTGCTGTGTGGGAATAGAGGCTAATTTATTTCCCAGGCACTGATTTAAAACAAGCTTTACTAATAGTTCAGTTTCACAATTATGATTTTTCCCAACACAAAGAAAGGCAAAACAGATATAGAGAAAAGGGAGGGTAGATGAAAGAGGGAGAAAAAAAGACAGGGAAAATTGCATTAAAATTCTATCACAGGCAGGCATAGAACATTTAATGTATGCTTCGAATGTTTTAAATAAATTGTCCATAGAGAGACTTTCAAAATAAATGGAAAAAAAATGTTTAACTTCTACCCTTTGGGAATTCATTTAATCCAATATCTATACAAGGCTGTTTTGCTCAAGAAAGCAGGTGTTGAAAAAAAGAAACTTTTTTCAGTCATTTTTATTTACTTGAGAAGTTGAAATGAGCGGATCATGTACAATCAGGAGTTTAATCAAGATATCTTCTCAAAGAAAAATGTAAGCAAGGAATTTTTACACAACTTGAAGAATTTCTGCATACATATCTTGTTCCTTATTATCAAATCTGTCTTGGTTGTTTCGGTTTCTGTTTATTTCAAATCGTGTTTTCTACTTCCTGCTCATTCATCATCATATAATTTTTTTAATGTAACTTTACTACATCAAGGTTGTTTTTTTTTGTTTGTTTTTGTTTTTGCCATTGTTACCTTCTTATGTGCTACATTGAATTTTTTAAATACAAATATGTATACTCCACAGTCTAAAAGAGAGTTAAGAATGCAGAGACATATTATTAGGCATTTTCTGCAAATTCTTAAAGATCAATAATTTTTATATTTTAGAAATCTATTATTCTCATTTTTGGACTTCATTATTATTACATTTTTACTCCTCAGTCTCACGCTCTTAGAGTACATATAGAATAAAACCATTAAATATATATCACAGTAACCCAAATAATAGTTATGTTTCCCTTTTTTCTCCTCTTAATGCACATAGATATATTTTATTAAACTGACAATGAAGTTTTATCGCCAAAACCTTTAATAATAATAGATAACATTTCTAAAATGTAGAGCATCATATCAGTGGTAGGAGATAAAATTGGTTTTGTAGGTTAAATAAATGTTATTTTAATACAGATAGTGGTAACTATCATATTTCATCTGGCTGATAGATTAGGATGTATTTTTCTATAAAATGTTATTAGGGCTGTTGAATTGATTATTATGTACAAAACACATACTCATATACAAAGCATACATAATGTGATTTCGAGAGGTTGCTTTGTTTGCCATCAATCTGCAAAATTTGTAAGATAAAATTATTATTATTTTCTGATGTTTAATGAAATATTTTTATCTGTACTGACATTATTCTCGAGAATGTACTGAGAATTACATTTAGTCACAATAATCAGACATTTACAAAATCCAATCAAAAGACCAATACAGTCATAAAAAACAAAAAAATAACTCTCAGCTAATGGACCACAGGTCTAAATTACACTGTTAAAAATTGGCATTTATTCCATTTTGTCTGTGTACTTCCCTTACTTTTACTTATACCATTACATTGGCTGTTTAGCAAAGCCATCTAATGTGATACTCTCAAAAGATAAAGGCTGGCATTGACTTTACAACAATTCAGACAGAACAAATTTGGCAATTCAGTGCTAAATACTTTGATTTTTATGACCCAAAACTAATCAGTTCATTTAAACTTTAATTACCTCAATATTACCAAAAATGCAAACTGTTTGAACAGTTAATTTTTATTTAAAGAAAAAAAATTACATTTATAGTTTATAGCACTTACCTCACAATCTAAGTATACAACTGAAAAAGCAGTGGTTAATTGGATGAGTAGATTGGAAAAGGCTTGGGAGTAAGTTCCAGGAGGAGGGAGGGTGCTGGGAAGGAAGAAAGCCCAGAGAATAGCCTAGGAGTTTGAATATAGGCTCAAAAATTAGTAAGGGGTTTCTGAAAGATATCAATTAATTCATAAACATTTATAATGGATCAGAACATCCTTGAATACTAAAAGCATAGCCAGGCTCTTAAAATAATTGATATCAAATTTTATGATCTGAAAATTATTATAAATCATCTTTTAAGTCAATTTCTCTCCCTAGCTCACTAGCTTAAGAATAGCTCTAAAAGGTATGATAGTTTAAAGCCCCCAGGTTTCTTTATTTTCACATCATTACCCAAGTAGCATAGTCATTTGGATGGAAAAGTGATTATTGATTTTTAAAAATACTAGATTATAGTATTATTCAAAAAAGAACCTAGCCAAAGAACATTGAACTTATAGTTATCTGCAGCTTGTATGCATAGGTTTATTTAATACATTTCACAATTTCTAAGCACTGCAACCCACTCATAGAAAATTATATCTTCATTTGGAATATTTCTCTAAGCATATTATTATATGATATTATAAAATATTCTTACTTTGACATGAAAGGTGTACCTTACTGAATATATTATCACCAGATATCTTTGATTCTAGCTTGGCTAGTGGAAAA